CTCCTGTATGGCAGTGAATTCTGGACAATTTCCACACAGAAGAGACTTTAAGCAACAGAAATGTGATTCAACAGAAGGATGCTGAGAATACCATGGACTGAACATGTGAACAACAACAGTTTTCGAGAAAAGACCCTTAATATCACTCACAGGACATATTGAACACAGTACATAACCTACTTAACAAGCTTGTGTAAATGGATGTCAGAACAGGGTTTAGAAGAGATAGCAAAAAGTCAAGATTGACTAAGAGCTACAAAGTAGAAGAAATTGTGGGGAGCCATGATCACCCATGTTCTGAATCCACATAGCATATTGAAGTATTTCACAGGCTGGTGGATAGATTTACATTAAGAAACAGGTATGTCTAATGAGACACATGCATCCACTAAATATAACAATATAAGTAATAAAAAATGAAAAAATAATTGAAGCAACTATACTAAATGAAAATCCATCATGTTTATCATGTCAAATAAGAAAATTCCAGACAGTATGGGAAGAATCAACTCCAGTTGATCCACAGAGTTCGCCTTGTCTAATTCCTCTTTCAAACCCCGCACCAAATATTCAAGAGGAAGAAACAGGCAGTTTTCATCTCCATAACAATGTTCCTCACTGATTAGTCAGTCAAAGCAGGCAAATGGGGCTGGGGGCACAACTTTCATTCCCTTCAGTTGTTGAATCATTGCTTTGCTATGTAGAAGTGGGGGGGGGGTCTTTGTTCCCTCTGTGTGATGCCTTGGGTTGTCATCTCAAAATCAAAAATCAATAATCTGTCATACACCCACCCACTTGCTTGATCAATTCTGGTCACTTAAGTATGGAATGTGAGGGAGTGAGATATGCTTGAATGTGTTGTTGTGGGGAGTTATATTGAACTGATAAGACTTTGTCGGGTAGAGGGTGCCTTTTTCCTGCCCTCTTTTAAGAATGCAGAAAAAAAGAGGAAGATGGATCAACATTTGTCTTTGAGTCACTTTGTGTTTGTTTTTGTTTTATCTGTCTTTCATTAATTGAGGGTGTGCTTGTGTGTGGGGTACACATTTAATTTGTAATTTGTGTGAATGGGTGCATATAGGAATTTTTAGAAAGAGTGCATTTTACTCTTTGGCTTTGTATGTATGTATATATATATATATATATATATATATATATATATATATATGTGTGTGTGTGTGTGTGTTGTGCATTTAGGCAGCAATCCCTTTTTATACATGTTTCATTAAAGACTACTGGCAAGGTAATATGATGAGCTTTTTATTTAATTTTTCTTATGTTTGTACAAGTGTTTTTTTCTGCACACAAATTATATAAAAACTGTCCAAAAGTTCTGCATATCAAAGTGCTTTTGGCTCTACTTTTAGCCATTATCAAGGATAATTTTATTTTTACTTTTAACAATGTATAGGTTGTTATGTATGTATCTCTAGTTATAGGAATGTTTTATTTTCCAAACACGGTCAGCACATTGTGGCCATGTTCATAGTTAATGTTATTGAGTGTTGGCCTTTTCTATTTTATTAGGACTTCTATTTTTTTATTTTATTTTATTTTATTTTATTTATTTTTTTTCATGTGGATGTGCTTATACTTGTATTTTCTACTAGTATGTTTTGGATGGTGTCTGGTAGGTTTTTGTGCATGTTTATATAAGTCCTAATGAAGCTATAGTTGAATAGGTATAACTTAAGTCATCTGGATAGTCATGTAGTAGTGTGACCAATGTAATTCTTTACGAGTTTGGTTTGATCAGGAATACAGTTCCTTAAGGGGCATTTGAACTTGTAAATAATGTTGTTTTTTTTTTTTTTTTTTTGTTTTTTGTAGTTTTGATTTTGCAGCTGTGTAATTTTTGATAAGTTTAGCCGTTTTAAATTTTTTCTAATAATAAATTTAATTTTCTTGTTTGGGTCGACTGAGTAGTGCATTTCTTTGATGTTTCTAAGTGAAAAATCATCTTGCTTATAGTTGATGTGTATTTGATTTTTGTAGATGTTATTGTTTTAGTCTGTTCAGTATTGTTATTAGTTACTTTGGAAAGAAACAGTCTAATCTGTTGGTTGATGAACTAGGAAAACCATTGTTAACTAGTGTCTGTTTTGCATTATTTAGTTCTTTAAGGAAGAGTAGACAAGAAGATGAATTTTCTTGTGCTCTGTTTAGGAAATTTGGGGATGTCTTTCAAAACAACTCTTGGGTTAGTATTAACCTTACAACACAGTCTTCATGCAGTTCTTGGTGACAATTTGGGTTTTCTTCCATGCCCAGACAAATTCTCTGTTGTGCCAAAGTGTTTAAACTTCTTTATAATGGACTGTACGGTAGATCTAGTGATTGCTAACCAGTTTAAAATGGTGCTGTAACTATTTCACAACTTGTGAAAATTAATAATTCTCTGTCTCAAGTCATCGCTATGCTCCTTTGTCTTCCCCATCATTTTGTTAACATAAGAATAACAATGGTGACACTATATACACCACGTGATATTCTACTGAATAAATTGTCTAGAAGGCTTCAGCGATAAAATAATTATATAAATTACTTATACTTACACAAGTCAATCAATTTAAAACTACCTTTTCTACTGTACGAATAATTTTGTCTTTTCCTATTTTGTATAATTTGCCTGTCAAATTTATCTATTGTTCTGAAAATTGAGTTTTATATTCCTGTTTCTGTGCTTATTAACATATAAAAAAAACTTGGCATCATACGGGCATTAGATTCTGAGAAATGGATAAAAATATTTAAAATTGATGGGTGTACAAATAATTTCGTCATTGACTGTATATCAAAATCTACACATTCAGTTAAAAGTAAAAACATCCTTGTCAATGGCTAATAGAATAGCCAAAAGCACTTGGATGTATAGGACATTTGGACAGTTTTTGCACACTTTATGTCCAGAAAATAAAACACATGAATGCAAAAAAAAAAAAAAAGAAAGAAAGAAAAGCTGACTAAAAAGCTTAATTGCAGTACCTTGTTAGTCATTTTTTTAATGAAACCTATATAAAAGAGGGATTGCTGCCAAAATACACACACATACATGCACATATATAAAACAGTTTTCATGTAACCAGCATATTACTAAGATTCTCTGTGTGTGTGTGTAGTGGTATCTGTTGATATAGGCATTTATACCCCCTTTGTCAATTAAAGATCTTATGCTAATAGTTGGTGTATACACACTATGCACACATCCATCATAGTTGGCTATTCAATTTCCAAGTATTCCCATTCTTAAGAAATAACAATCCTAACATCAGAAAGAGAAAGTTGAAATTTATAGGGTACATAATGAGGAAAGAGGGTTTGGAAAATTTGATACTCACTCCCAGGACAGATTGAATGCAAGAGTGACAAAGTAAAACTATGCATAACCTACCTAGCAAGAGTAAATGAATGGCAGAACAGTGTTTAGAAGAGATAGAAAAAATATTAAGAGCTACAAAGGGCTGGAGATTGTGGAGAGCCTGAAGTGACATGGAACATAGAAGTGGATATATTTGTATCTTTATTTATATACATATTTATACAAAACTAAATTTAGTGTTACACCAAGTTTCCTCTCTACCATGACCTTTTTAAAAGAAAAAAAAACCCTGACTTACTTTTCACATGGTCAGGGCTTGTATATGTTTGAAATCAACATAAATAATCCTTGCATTTACCTTGAGTTGAATACTAATCCCTGATAACAAGTGGCAATGAAATTTCAGACTCTATTTACTTAGCTTTGTCTGACACAAGTTTATAATAGATTAAACCTTACTGAATGCTTCTCTTTCTTGATAAGTATATTTGTAAGATTAATTTTCTAATGTAAGCACTTATTTGTGTGAGTAAATTTTGTTTTAAATTTTCTTATTTGTCTATTTTATCTTTGCTTGACTAGAGAAAGTTAATTTCACCAAATTCAATGTTTGTTAGTGTCATCCAAAATGATTTGTCTCTTTCCGACCAGAAACTTTGCTTGTCTTAATGTCTTCTTTTGTCTTACCATATCTTCTGCAGTAATTTTTTCTTTTTTTTAATTTTTGTCTTTTAATCTTTGCCAACATGTGTGTGTATATATATATATATATATATATATATATATATATATATACATACACACACACACACACATCTGCATTAATTACTTGCACATTTAATGTTAATTGTTGATATTGTCACATTTAATGGAAGGTTTTTCTTGTGTAGTAAACTTAGTTTTCTCAATGCCTTTCCAGAGAGTGGATATTGGGCATTTACATTTGCAAAAATGTAAAACTAGATTAAAAAAAAAAGCCAAAAAACTAAGGTCCCAATGGCAAATTTACCCCCTGCCATTAGTGGGTGATGTTCTGACTCGACCAGAGAAACTTAATTCTATCTATCCCAGCTCTACATTAGCATCATCCAAAGTTGCTCTTGCCACATTCTCCATTCAGTAAAGACCCCACCCGAAACTTTGCCTGTCTAAATATGTCACTGATAATTTTGAACTGATTACTTTTACTGATTTTTTTCTATCATATTACCATACCTTCTGCAATAACTTTTCTTCTTTTCTTTTTTTTTAATCTGTGTTTAATTGTATCTTTTATATATATATTATATATATATATATATATATATATGTAATTATTTTTATAAAAAAATATATATATATATATAAATCACAACAAAAATCATTTTTTTTATTTTCAACATCATCAAAAAAGTGATTTTATAACATACTTATGTTATAATTTTTTTTTATAAAAATAATTATATCTGCTCTACTTTTGTATTGAGCACTCTTTTAAGAATAGAAATTGTTGGTTATTGGAATTCATTCCGTATATACCAATTATATATATAATGCACACACACGTCAGCATTAATTACTTGCACATTAATTTAATTGTTGATGTCACTATATTTAATGGCAATTTTTCTTGCATAGTAAACTGTCCGTGAGTTTTCTTGACGCCATAGTTTATATTTGAACTTAAGTTAAAACCTTACAGCTCTCTCCAGTTCACAACCTACCCCTTTACAGCTCTCTCCAGTTCACAACCTACCCCTTTACAGCTCTCTCCAGTTCACAACCTACCCCTTTACAGCTCTCTCCAGTTCACAACCTACCCCTTTACAGCTCTCTCCAGTTCACAACCTACCCCTTTACATCTCTCTCCAGTTCACAACCTACCCCTTTACAGCTCTCCAGTTCACAACCTACCCCCTTTACAGCTCTCTCCAGTTCACAACCTACCCCTTTACATCTCTCTCCAGTTCACAACCTACCCCTTTACATCTCTCCAGTTCACAACCTCCCCTTTTACATCTCTCTCCAGTTCACCCCTTTACATCTCTCTCCAGTTCCAACCCCTTTACAGCTCTCTCCAGTTCACAACCTACCCCTTTACATCTCTCTCCAGTTCACAACCTACCCCTTTACATCTCTCTCCAGTTCACAACCTACCCCTTTACATCTCTCTCCAGTTCACAACCTACCCCTTTACATCTCTCTCCAGTTCACAACCTACCCCTTTACAGCTCTCTCCAGTTCACAACCTACCCCTTTACAGCTCTCTCCAGTTCACAACCTGCCCCAAAGTTCTCACCTTGATTCTTAATCCTTCCGCTGGCCCCTTGGTTAGCTGGTTCTAATGAATTTGCTAACCAACTGTCAACTCCTACCTGGTGTCTTTGACAAGAGTAGTTGTAAATTTAATTCTTTCTTTTAAAACAGGAGTAGGTGCTGCATATGCACCCCAGAGCAACCTTTGTTACCCCTCAACTTCTCCAAATGGGTTTTTGGTCCTTGGGTATATGAGTGAGCTTGTCTTGGTACCTTAGGTCTCTGGCCAGGACAATTTTTCTGACCCAAGGAGAAGTTCTGTTGCCTTGACTTCTTGGCCGATGAGACAGATATTGCAGAGACTTCACCATTGCCTATGAACTAACCCAGATCATCGAAGAACCAACCCATGTCCCAGATGTGACAGAACATCAGGTGAACCTCCTCAACCACTTTCTAACATCCTGCCCTGATAAATGCTTACCAAAGGTTTTAAACGCCTCCTCAGTCAGTATCCAGATTGATGAAACTTAAGACATCCCCTGATTTACCATTCCATAAAATGATTTTTTTGCTACGTGAAGGTAAACTCTCTCAACCTTCTTCAAGCATGCTGCTTCCAAAGCTCTTCTCTGCATCTTGAAATGAATCCTTTCTAGAATGGAGTTTTTTTTATTCCTCCCAAAAAATCACATCAAAAACCAAACAGTCTTCCCTGCTTTGACCCTTGAATGCTCTGCAGCCAGATCTCAATGGAACCATTACTTCAATATCTGTCACAAGGAAACTCTGTAGCTTGACCCTTACTTCATTCAGAACTGACTGAAATGACTGCAAAAAGTCCTAAAATTCTCTTCACCAATATGGCTAGGATCCGCCATGCCACTTACATTATAGCAAACCACCTACATTTGTATTCCATTGCCGAAAAGTAAGTTCTACTTGAACAGCTTCTTTTTGTGAACCACTGCTCTGTCGAACTGACTCCGAAGAGGATGTTCCCCCCCCAATCACTACAATCTTAACATGTTCAAATACAGGGTTAATAACTACTTTCCCTCATTTTTATATATATTATATATATATATATATATATATATATAACTGCCTCTTAATGTAACCTTCTACCTTGCATGGCCTCTGGGCCTTGCACAAGGTGAATTTTACTGTAAAAACAAAAAACACTATGAAAAAAGATCATATATTTGAGATTATTTTTTTAATATTAGAAAAACTGAAAATATCTATTGGATTAGCAAAATCTTTGGTAGCTACCTAATAATCATAATAATAACAGAAAATTAGTTTTGTCTTTATGGAATATAGAACTAATTTCTCTAGTAATAGGTGCACCTGGAACTCCACCTAGAAAAGTGCTTAGGGAGAAGTGGAATTGAAACTAAGATTGTAGTTCTCCAGAAAACTAACATCATTTACACTGTAAGGATTCTCTGAAAAGTTCTGGAGTTGTGGACAGTCTTGTTGACACCATGCCTCAAGAATAGAATTTCTGTTGACTCTCAATGTGTAATACCAACATAATAATAACACTAATAATAACAGGAATTAGTTCTACATTTATGGAACTTGGATGTATAACTAATTCCTGTCATAATGGGAATTCTGCTGAGAAAAGTGAAAAATGCTTAGAGAGAATTGGAATTGAGGCCAAGATTGTAGACCTCTAGAAAACTGTCATTTATTCTGCCAGGATTGCCTGAAAAGTTGTGCAGAGTCTTGTTGACATCATACCTCAAGAACAGAATTTCCATTGGCTATATCAAAGTGTGACACCAATGTAATAATAATAGTAATTTCTCAAAGTAATGACAGTTACAAAATGTGGCATGGAGTTTACAAGAGGCTGGCTAATTATATGGGTATATCAATTCTGGCACATTCCAAAGCTATCCATGACTGTGTTGTTGGGTGTGTCAGTAAGATATGCAATATATGCTTATACATGCTAAATGGTATTTAAATCTGGCCAGTGGATTATCTAAACATCAACCAATTGTTCTTGTAATCAGTTTAGTTTTCTCTGTGCCCAGTAGAGAATTGCATTATCATGCTGGACAAACCATGATTCCCAGGAAGCATGAAGAGTGTAAACAAGGGCAAATTATGTGAATCAAGATCTGTATATGTCACCCCTGTCGAATTTAATTCAAATTTCACTTCTAGTGTTTCTGAATTCCTATAGAACACATTGTATATCATTAGAGAGCTATCACCAATTAAGTTTACTTCCACCATCCCTCCTCAGTTTATTTTCTGGAATATACATCCAATGCCTTCTGCAATAGTCTGGATGAAACTGTGTTCCTTTGCTTTGCTTCATTTTTTTTTTTTTTTTACTTATGTTTTTGTGTAGTTAAATTATTACAGTACTATTATTGTATTTAGTATCAATAACTTTAACCTAGTTTTAGTTAATACAGTTCTATATTGGATGGGTGGTTGACATCGAAAACAGCTCCCCCACCCGCTACTAGCTTTTCTGCTGGTGAAGAGGTGGTATGTCATCTCACAGGACAAAGAGCAAGACTTGTCAAAGGGCAGATGAGATTCTTGTAGGAGCCAACAGCCCCCCCACACACACACAAGGCTAGGCTGGTATCTCAAGCCTTGAATGGCAATTTTCTAGAGATGCAGTTTCAATAAAAACACAGTGTACATTGACTACTGTGAGCACCTGTCCTTATAAAACGTTGTTTCAAATCATTGACAAAATCTCTCTCTAACAGGCAGGACCTACCTTGCTTTGTGCCAGATTAATCCTGATCCTGCCTCAACAAAATATATATATATATATATTATATATGTATGTATGTATGTATGTATGTATGTATGTATGTATGTATGTATGTATGTATGTATGTATGTGTGTATGTATGTGTGTATGTATGTGTGTATATATGCATGCATGTAAATTAAAGTCTGCTGTATGATTTACTGAGTCAAATGCATTTTCATAGTCAACCAAAGATAAAGTGGTTTATCTTTAATATATTTCTATCAGTTGATTTATTATTTATAAATGGTCTGTTATTGAGTGGCCACTCTAAATTCTACCTGTCCACCGATTCTCATTTAGTGTACTTGTTTCTCTGTTTACAAGTACTTTTGAAACTAGTTTGTATATATTTCATAGTAATATGATGATAGTTGCGAAGGTTTTTATTAACTCCTTTTTATATAAAGTAAGATTACAATCCATAGATTATAGTTTTGAGGTACTTTTTTTTTTTATATATGCACTGGGTAAATAGTTATGCTAATCCTTTATGAAATTTTTGTCTTGCACCTTTCAGAAAGGTCTGTTATTATGCTATCTTCACTTAATGACTTTCTACATTTCACACTTTGAAGTGCAAACCTTATATCATCTGTTGTTACATCAGTAGCATTATTAGCGGCCAGAGTGACTTTCTATTTTCATAGTTTTCATAGTACTCCTTGGTTATTCTTAACATCTTGTCTCTACATTTTACAACTTCCCCATTTTTATGCAGCAAGCAATTGCTGTTAGCTTATATGGGTTGTAGAATAAACAGGTTTGAAGATCTTCCTGCCTGTTGATGTAAGGGTGGTTTAATGGATAATGGTCTTAAAATTGAAGAGTCAAGTTTGAATTCTAATCTGGTTTGCGTGTAAATATCCTTGGGAATGGTATGAATCCATTTCCTCTCTCCATCTATGGGTTAAATAGTAAGACTTGTATCTGGAAAAAATTATTATTCTCAAGAGAATTGTTAAGACAATATTCACTCTCCCCTCTAGCCATTCTTACAATCCAAAATATATTTAATCTTTAAATAACCCACAAAGCAGTTAAGGTGTTAAAAAAAAAAAATCAACTTCCATCTTGGTCTACTCTTACTAAGTTCATTTTCAATTTCTGTGTCTCATTTCATTTCTTAAGTTGTTTTATTCTACATTTGAAATTTTCTTTTATTATTTATGAGTATATTTCTCTTTCCTCAGTTCCATAGATGGCTTTTCGAGCCCCGATGGTGTCAGATTGCTGATATTTTTTTTTTTTTTTTTTTTTTGAAAATTTATATTTTTTTTCTGTTTCTTATCTCTGCTAGTTTATAATTATAGTTACTAATTTCTGTTATATTTGTAATTTCACAAAGCCCACAATTTGCCCTGTATTTCTATCTGAAGTCTGTAGATACTCTTGATCTTATAAACAACAGAATCTATACAGATATATAATTATGCATTTGTTCATCATTATATTAATAAAAGAATACTGTTTTGTATATAGTTATTTAGTAAGCTTAGCTCAATCTGATACATGACATGATACATAAAGTAATAACACAGTGAGGATCAAATTTACTACAATTTTCTGTTGATTTCCTCACTTTACTATTATGGTTGCTCCCAGCTGCTATTAGGGTTGTGTACTTACTAAATTGATTTTCATTGAAAAGCTTTATGTATTTAATCTGTTGTAACCTAAGAAAGGTTATTGAATGAGGAATAACCAAAACGGAGGTTGGGAATGAAATGGTAATCTTTATAACATCATCAAAATACAATACTCACCAGTGGTGTGAAGTAGGTGAACCTCTACTAGTGGTGGAGTATTTAGACAGCATATTACCCCCACTTACAATAGTGTTCAACATATTTATGAGGATTGGGACATCCATTAGTGTTCATTGGTACAGTATATAACATAATCAGTCACAAATGTGTCTTCTTGTCTATAAAATATGGTCCTTTTTTGGTCAGGGTTAATAACTTATATTCTTAGCTACTGCATTTAAGTTTTGTATAAAGAGTCATTCCTGAGCTACTTTCTGTAATTTTTGCATAATATATATATATATATATATATATATATATATATATATATATATATATATATATATATAAAGTTTAGCCTAAGATTGGGGCAGGCAAAATTTCCTTGGTGAACCCTTTAAAAACTGCTGCAATATTTTTAGAATTTTCAAAATTTGTTTTTCATTTGTAAAAATGTAATATTAACATAAAATCTATAAAAAATTGAAAATAAACAAAAAGCTTTA